GTTGGCCTTGGGGTTTTTCCTGGCCTTCTTCCTTTTCCCCACACCACCGGCTGCTAGCACACGACTGTTGTCCATTGGAGCATCTGGATTGGGAGCTGAAAAATAACAAAGGAAAACATTAGTACCGAGCGGCCTTATCACGTGGGAAACAAAAAAGGAGGGAACGTTTTTCGCACGGGAAGGACCGCCCGGACCATGACACTTGATTCTTAAAAACAAGTAAACCCAAGAGAACGGGCAGTACCTATCCCGGCCTCGATTAGTAGATCGGGGGTAAGATATCCTATGATATCACAAGATTTATCCTTCTCTATTGCGAAGACATCCTTGCAGATTTGTTCGGTAAGAAGCGGATCGGGAGTTTTACGGGGAAATGCGTTCCACTTATTCGGAATCAGGTCGTCCGGGACGGATACAAAAAAGAACTGGTCTTTCCACCCCTTGATCGAGGTAGGATTACCCTTAAATAAAATATGACCCGTTCGGGCAGTTGCAGCCAGGTAACCGTGTGTTTGTCGGGGAGTCACCTTGAAAAATTGATGGAACAACTCTAGAGTGGGAGTAACATCGACATCTTTACAACGGCAAACGAAGGCCGCTATCACCCGATAAGAGTTCGACATAACTTGGGCCGGTACTATCTCGTAAAAATTGAGGAAGGAAACAAAGAAAGGGTGTAGAGGAAACCTAAGCCCAACTTTTACTGAGTCTAGATGGACCACCACCATCCCATGAAGGTGGTGCATCGGATGAAGCCCAGTCCGAAGACGGAAATTAACTGGATCAGGGATTAGGGCTGGGATTTGGGCCCTATTATGAGAGGTCAATTTTTGCCTCCTTTCCCTAATTAGCCTCAAGTCCACCTTATGACGGGGAACGTCGCCCGGGAGGCCGCCCGCCATTGAAATGAGTTCATCACCGGATTTCGTATCGTCAGAATCATCGTCAGTAGAAGAGCCAACGGAAGAATCCTTCGCCTCCGCCCTAGTCTCTGCCGTCGCTTCATTTGAACCGCCGCAAACGGGATATTTATGACATCCACAATGGCGGCAGCATGGTGATCCTCTTGGGAAGCCATTTCCGAATCAGAGGAACGTGATTGAGTACTCATACCGACCAGACCGAAGAAAAGGGAGAAAAATTAAGGGATGAAAAATACCTGAACACGAAAAGCTTGAAGAAAGTTTAGAAAGAAAGCAGCGCTAAACACGAAGGATTGATAATTCGAAACCCAGAACTAAAGAACTAAAGGCTAATTTATAGTCTGACAAACGTCGTATCGATGACCATCCAAATGATGACACGTCACCTAGACTATTTGAAGGGACACGTGTCGCACAGGAGATCAAGGGCCACTAATCATGACGATTACGGGAAAGATCAAAGGACAGCCGCAAGGAAGGTGCTAATCATGGCATGGGGAACTAGCGAACTCTGGATCTCGATCGTCATTCGGCAGGTAACTTCTACTTCCCAATGCACTCACTACCGTTCGAGACATTGGAAGTGAGGACTCGTGTTGGGATATTGGGCTGCAGGCCCAATACCCGGATCCAAGGCCCAAGATATCCAGTCTAATGGATGGGCCCATAATCCATAAAATGAACAGGCTCATGGAAAAATATGTACCGAACGAGGTTCGGGTCAAGTAATGGGCCATATCAATGGTGATTCCAGATCAATATACCGAACGAGGTTCGGGTCAACCAACATACTTGGGCCAGATCAAGGATGATTCCAGCAGGGTCCACTACCCGTTCGGGCAGCGGGCAGCCAACAAGTGGCAAAGAGAATTTATTGCTAAACTATGACGGCAGCTAATGGGAGTATGGGTTTCCAAGTGTCTAGATAAAACAACCAATCAACATGAAGTACCCCATACCCCCCTTTAGTATAAATAGAATGATTAGTTTCATTGTAAAGGGTGAGCATTTTGATACTCAAGCCTAGAATAGATTTATCTCTGTAGTTCTTGTATTAGCCATACTCCGACGTACCGATCGGGAGATTTCTGTGTAATCACGTGATTAATTAATACAAATGGGCTTTTGAGTATTTAATCATTCATATTTTATATTTTCTCTTTACAAGTGATTCTTGCCCCATTTTTCTAATATATCCAAAGTTTGTGTTGGACTTTCGGACCTGCGGGATTAAACTTCAACATGTACAAAAGTCTACGAGATCAGGATCCTGGAAAAGGGTAGGGGGTCGTGTTTTCCCAACATGAAGTTACTATACAACATTTTAAACAAACTAAAACTCGTATGATTGATCTACCCAGATAATAGATAGGAGTCCAGCATTATGTAACCAGGGGTGGAGGTGGAGGGGTGGCCAACCGGGACCCGGCCCAGCCCAAATTTTAAAATTGCTTATATTTTTAATGCAAAAATTTATGTGTAAAAATTTATCTGTAAAAAATATTTGTACCGGCCCAGCCCAACTCTTACTCCTGGCTACGCCCCTGTATGTAATGAACTAATTTGTGCTAATGCATTACACTTTTATTGTTTTTATTATATTTTGAGCAAATACACAATAATTCTTATAATTTTTAGCCTTAAGTACGCCCCCTTCCAAAAAATCTGTGGCTCCGCCACTGCATATGGATCCTACCATTTTGTTATGCGTTGTTACCTTTCCCATCCGTATCGGTATAGCGAGGGCCTCAATTGGACTGGTCTGGTGTAAAGAAAGAATTATTTTGTAAAAAACAACAAATTGTGTTACATTAATATTTAAATAATGGGAAAATTCCCGAAATATTAGTAAAAATGTTTGAAAATTTCAAAATAGGACTGTCATGTTTTTATTCCCTAAATATGAGTAATTAATATCAAGCTTGAAAAATATTGTCAAGTTTAAAGTCTGATTCTTTCAAAACATAACAATGATTATTTATGTTTAGAGAAAAAAAACATAATAATCCTATTTAGAATACAATACCAAACTTGATTCTGCTGCATCCACATATACATTTTTCTAGACATCAAAATGTATAGAACCTCTGTAAGTATCGGGAACAGATGCTCAATCTCTATCCGTCAGATTGAAATTATAGTACAATTTACATCCTCCCAACGTATCGTCTGGTTGGGGTTGAGGGCCCTCAAGGATGAGGTGTCATCCTTTTTTGTAGGCACCCAAAATGAACCTCGGTGGGTTATAAAGAGGCTTATATTTGAAGAGGGAGGGGCGTATTTAGTACGGAGTAGTAAGTAGTGTAGATGTATCATAAAGATGGGATGCCAACAGAAAATCCACATGCATCAAAAGAAAGCGATGAGGTGACGGTTGGCGGTCCATGTTCACAGCCTGGGGGTTTGTGCATTGGATCTATTTTTTGGAATATCAAGGACAGCAGAAAAGAACCGAATAAAGCTGTTAATACCACAACAGAAAAAAGAAAGAAGATTATAGGAATGTACTCTCTCGTCTGAAAAACTTTGACTCCCAACATCTACTACTGTTTTTCCTCATTTCGTCACTTTCCCAACTAAATTTCACTTCCTAAAAAATACTCCTATTAATTAATGGTTTCATTATTTCCATCTTCTTGAAATAAATTTCGACCATATACGTCACTTTTTCTTAAATAATCTCCCAACTGAGGACTTAAAACTTAAAACATGAGAGCGTGTAAAAATGGAAAGCCCGCAAACGTAAAACACCGTTAATTTAGGGTCCTCATACCATGCATATTTTTCTATACAAATTCAAATTTCTAGTTAAAATTTATTGAAAGTTAGGGGGTTTGGAACTGATTTGGTTTATGATTCTTTTTTGAATATTCCACTCTAGGTCCTCCGAGTTTTGTGTCATTTTCATATTTAGTCTTCGTCTTTCATTTTATCCATTTTTGGTACATGACTATTGTTTTCATGACCATTTGTGGTCCATTTCTGAGCATTTTTACTATCGGAAAAAACTATATATGGTCACGAAAACAATAGTCAAGTACCAAAAATGGATAAAATGAAAGACGAGGACTAATTGTGGAATTGGTGCAAAACTCGAAGGACCATAAGTGGAATTTCTTCTTCTTTTCTAAAAGTACAAGTAGAATCAGAATTAGTTTTTCAAAAGTTGGTCTCCCTCATTTCTAAAAAACTGTTTCTTTAATTTGGAGTATGGAGAAGTACTTCTCCACTTTCACCCAAACACTCCAATATCATTATGTTCTCTGAATAAGCAGAAACATTTTAAGAAGCAGATCCAAACACCCTCTAAGTATGACAACATGATTGACAACTTTTCTTTTCGTGAGATGGAAAATGTCATTTGTCATACTATCAATTTATGAATGTTACGTTGTCAAACCTTTCAAACGAGAGTAAATTTATACTACTATATATACATCTCCTTTATAACAATATTTGTAGTATTACTTCTTTGTGCTAGTTTTTATATGCACAATCATGGAGATTTACTCATTTTATCTCATTTTGATTACTAATCTCACAACTTTAATTAGTTTCACATCATATATATCATGTGATAATAATTTTTGAACATTTAAAATTAAATCTTTTTCACAAGAGTAGAATTTTTATAGAAAACAGGTTGTCATGAAATTTTCGGTGAAATCTTCCTTAATGCGGACAAAGTTATTAACTAGTAACGCACCTAATATGCAAATGACAAAAATTACAGGATTATTAATTCACATATGCGTAAATTACGTGATTAAATATTTAAATATACAATCTTTTTTTAATTTCATATGACAATGATAACTTGTTGGTGAATGCATGCTTAGACGAATATTGCTAATGAAAATATACTAGGTATAATTAATCAAATGTTTCGTGGTATACTGGTATAATGTTACTATTCGAGTCACATGTTTTATTGTGGCCCTTGTGAAATTTGATGTACAAGATACATGACCTACATAAAAAGTTCTATTGGAATCAATCTAATCTAATTACCCACTTTAGAGAGGCAATCGTTTTATTTTTCACCAATCCACTTCTTCTGTCTTTTTGAAATACATTATTTTATTCCATATACTTGCTTAATTAGCTGTTTTATTGAAACCTGAAGCATTCTGCCTTAAAACCCAAAACAGATGAAGCCATAAAAAAGATCAGAGGGTGGGCTCAAAGAAGGCCACCCAGCCATTTACCCTCCCCATTAAGTATTTATCAATATTATTATCCTCATTCAATTTAGCTGTAATGTTCTGGTTCTGCACTGCAAAGAAGCAAAGCATCTCCCTCCCCTTACACATTTGCCTTGCTTTACCCAGTGGGTATCCCACCTTTTCTTTGCTTGCAATTAATAATTTCCCAATCTCCCCTTTCCCCTCTCTGGTAGATCCAACCCAAGAACTCATAATCTTCCAAGTACATATCTCTACTGTTCAAATTCATCCCCAAACTTTCTGCTTCGCGTGATTTTCGGCAGTTTCATTGACCCAATCGTCAAACACCCTGCAGTCGTTTCAGTTTCTGTGTATATATAACGCTTAATTGTGTGTGAATTTTACAGTCCTGGACTCCTAGCATGATTTGCTTCCATCTTTTATAAAGAAAAGAAGAAAAAGATGAGTCTTTCCACAGAAGTATCAAGAAAGGTGACATGGCAGCCTGGAGGGATGGTGGAAGATACAACCATCACAAGTTACTGGATGAACTGGAGGGTGGGTTTATGCTTCCTTTGGATTTTGATAGCAGTGGTTTTCTCAGGTGTGCTTATATTCAAGTATGAAGGCAGAAAAGGTGGCAGTGATGGTAGAAAAAACAGAGGAGGAAGCAGAGAGCAGGAAGAGGGGTTCTCCTCCTCTGAAGCTGGTGGGCCTGCAGTTTTATATGAAGATGAAGTGTGGAAGACATGCCTGAAGAATGTTCATCCTGCATGGCTGCTTGGATACAGAATTGTTTCTTTTGTTGTTCTTCTCTCCATGCTCATCCTTAATGCTAAATCTGATGGTTCTTCCATTTTCTACTTTTATACTCAGTAAGTTTATATCCATTAGAGCTTAGCTTAGTTCTGCCTTTTTGTTTATAATATTTTCAATATCAATCAGAGTTTAGATTCTGCCTTTTTGTTTTTCAAATTCATTTTTTATTAGTTTTATAGAAGTACTGATTTGGGTTCTTAATTACCATGCAGGTGGACATTCACATTAGTTACCATATACTTTGGGGTACGAGCTTTTCCAACTCATTGGTTTATGATTATTTAAAGTCTATGTTTTGACCATCGCGGTCTTCAACGTCATAATTGATCAACATTAACAATTACTCTGTACTACCGTATATACTCTCTTTCTCACATTTAATTTTACAGAAATTGCTCTTAGAGTAAAAACGTTTTGAAATTCTAAAATATAAAAAACATGATATACTAATGTATATCATGTTTTTATTCCTTGAACGGGAGTAAAGTTCTGCCAAGTTTGGCATTATTAGGCTTTAAAACATGGCATTTTTTTTCAAACTTGGCAGATTACTTCTATTCAGGGAATAAAAAACATGTTACTCCTATTTTGGAATTTCAAAACTTTTTTATTCCTATTTAAGGAATTCTCTCTTCTCTTAATTTTATGGTTTCGTTTTTAATTTTAGAGAGTTTTGACCGTTAATCTTAATCATTCAGAAAAAGTAATAATTTCAATTGTTAAATATTCAAAAAGTATATTTTGCAGTACTTCAAGACGAAAGTAAATTTGAATACTTCATTTTATATTTTTTTTTTATAGATTTCATACGTTTATATTATCGGTTAAACGTTAACTTTGAAAACTGTGAAAGTCAAATTGTGAATAAAATTTCTTGACGAAAGCATGTTACTAAAGTTTAAGATGAGGTACATTATATAATAAAACAGTTAATGTTGATTATGTTCCTATCTCACTCAGTTTTGTTACTTGTAGAGTTGTAATTCATGTGATCAATTAACTTTGCAAGTCAACAATTGTAAAAAGGAAATTTCAAATTAAAGTTGACTCTTATGTCATTAGCAAATACTAAAAAATATTAAGATAAATGCTCATTTTACTATTAATACAACTTACTACCTCTGTTCTATTTTAATTGTAACCTTGGATTTTTGCACTATTCACATGTTCTATTTTGACTATATTTTATTTATTAATGTATAATATATTAAATTTTTAAAAAATGAGTATTTAAATTCCTCTCTTTCTAAATTTTCAAAATCTAAATTTTTTAATTTTTTTTACTAATAAGGAACGAAAGATATTAATGGTTAAACATGTGCATTGACAAACGTAAAAAGTGGACCGTTTCAATTAAAAAGGAATGAAGGAACTATGTTATACGTAGATACCAGTGTCGAAATTAGAAAAAATGCGGAATATTTGATAGACCAGTATAAAGAATTTTTTCTGATATTTTTTTGCATTTTTTCTTAACTTGGAGAATATATATATTATTTAAATTTGAGTTGAGTGAGGGCAATAAAACCCCCTATCTACACCTTGTTAGTTGTTATACACTTATACACCATTAACAGCTATAATGGGTATGAGTGTATGACTTAATACAAAGTAGTCTTGGATCAAATTGATCAAGACTATTTTCTTAAAATAAGATAGGACACCTGAAATATTGCTATCACAAGCTAATGTTCAAAAGTTATTGAAGTTTTATTTGAAAATTAAACCATGAAATACTATTATTACAAACTTTAATTTTCCCATAGATGTCTTAAGTGTGCATGAATGTACACTAATTTATATTACTGCGTATGATTTATGACATTGTAGCTTGGGTCAATGCTATCGATGTATGGGTGCTACCAATACCATAATAACAGAATCAGCAGCGAAACAGATCATAATCCCAGGTCTGATGATGCAGAGTATGGATCGGCAGGTCTATTTTCCCATCCTGCAAATGCAAAACAGCCCCCAGCACATGAAGAATCCAACAGAAAAGTTGCAAACTTATTGTGCTACATTTTTCAAATAATTTTCCAGGTGCTGCTTCTTTATTTTGGTAATACTCAAATTCATTGTATTGACTGATTCTGCTGAAATTTATGAGATTTTGACTGATGTGACTGAATTAGCCGATTCCGCTTATTCATGAAAAAATTATATTTAAAATATGTTTTATTAATTAAATAAAGAAAAATGAAAATAACTAAAATGATCATTTATGGCAACTTCAGCCAATACTTGAAGAGTAAGTTCGGTCTTACTTTTTCTTATTACTTTGTATTACAAAATTCAACGTGCGAAATAAAAAAAAAATATATTTGGTGAAAAAATTGTCTGATAAGCTTGATAAGACAAAAACAACTCTAAACACCATCTTTAGCTTCAATGTGTTCCTTTCCTTCTTGTGGACAGGTGAATGCCGGAGCCGCAACTCTCACAGATTGTGTTTATTGGTTTGTTCTTGTGCCATGTTTGGCCATCAAAGGCTATAACTTGAATTCTGTAAGGATCATGGCCACAAGTTTTATATACGTAGTATTTGCAAAACTATTAAGGAGGTGTTTGGATCTTATTCTGATTCTACTTCTATTTTAAAAAAAAAAAGCAGTTCCAAACACACCCTAACCTAACTTATTAACGTGTTCGGTACTAGCCAATAACTTTAATCACTCGCAGATGTAGTGATGAAAAATTTATCTAAGGACTTGGCTAGCTACTACAGTAGAATATAATGTGCAATGTCCTGCAAAATAAATCGCACTAGTGTTGCTTTTCCGGTCCGCTTTTTGCCGGAAATTGTAACCGGAAAGTCTGATAGAGATTAGTTATTGGATCTTACTCCGATAATAACTACTCCGTAAAATAAATGAAAGTTACGCGACGGAATAAACAAAAGGTAGATTCTATGGTACCATAATGTATCATAACTTTGTCCACATGAACCAATGAGAGTGTTGCAGTTGAATTATTTAAATCTAAATTAAAAATAATATATCGATCTTTTTTATCTATATCTTTGAATGCGGTGTATTTATTATCTTAATTAATTGCAGTTGATGATAGGCATGCATTTGGTAAACGTGATTGTCCTTCTTATAGAGGCTGCACTGAACTGTTTGGTAAGTCATGTTTGTTGTATTGCCTTAGACTTATTTAATTCAGGGAAAGTGTTAGAAAATAGAAGAGGTTGTTGGTTGTATGAATAGAATAAGTGATTTTAGTGAGGTGTAATGTAGATGATGTGTTTTAGAGGAGAGCTCTTGTCTCTAGAAAAGTAGTATTGTATTGATGTTTCTTGGTTTTGCTTGGTTTGCAAATGAGTACAATGAGTCCTATTTATAGGAGCTAGAGGATCATTCTAGATCCTTATTAAATGCTATGATTCTAGAGTATTCTACATCTATGTCTAATTACTCTAGATTTTACATAAGAATTCTCTAGTAGAGAATTTTCTAGAATACTTTCTAGCTTTAACTCTCTAGACATCTCTAGCCTTTTCTACATAGAATATTCTAGATAAATGCATCACTATTTAATACTCCTCCTTGATGCATTTGTCAGTGACTCCAAGCATTCTTCGCAGAAACTGGAATCTGTCTCTTGGCAGGGCCTTCGTGAAAATATCTGCCAATTGTTCTTCTGTTGGGCAGTACTTCATCTCAATATGCCCCTTTGTTTGGACATCTCTCAAGAAGTGATACTTGATATCGATGTGCTTAGTACGATTGTGCTGAATTGGATTTTTAGCCATCGCAATAGCTGACTTGTTGTCGCAAAATATTTGAGTCGCTGAACTTTGCAATTCTCCCATGTCTTCTAATATTCTTTTTAGCCATATAGCTTGGCACGCTGCTCCGGCTGCTGCAACATACTCGGCTTCGGCTGAAGATAGTGCAACAGAATCTTGCTTCTTTGATCCCCATGAGAAAATTCCCGAACCCAGCTTAAATGCGTAACCGGAGGTGCTTTTCATGTCATCTTGAGATCCAGCCCAATCACTGTCGCTATATCCAGTTAGTCGTGAGTCAGGAGTTGTTTTGTACCAAATACCATAATTGATGGTTCCTTGTAGATACCTAAGGAGTCTCTTTGCCGCTCCATAATGAGTCTCAGTTGGACTTTCCATGAACCTCGAGAGCAAACTTGTAGCATACATGATGTCCGGCCTCGTAGCCGTTAAGTAGAGTAGACTCCCAATCAAACTTCGGTAATTGGTTGCGTCCGTCTGATTTGACCCATCTTCTTTCTTTAATTTTTCATTAGGAACCAGTGGAGTAACGACGGCTTTGCAGTCTTGCATTTTAAACTTCTTTAGCATGTCCTTAATATATTTTTCTTGAGATAAGAATATGCCTTCTTCTTCTTGACTTATCTCCATGCCAAGGAAGTAGTACATTAATCCCAAGTCACTCATCTCAAAAGTGTTCATCATGTCTCTCTTAAATTCTTCAATTAATTTGGAATTATTTCCCGTGACAATTAAGTCATCAACATATAGAGAGACGATGAGAATGTCAGATTTACCTTGGGATTTGATGTATAGTGTAGCCTCGTTCTTACTCCTCCTGAACCCTTGACGGGTGAAGTATCCATCAATCTTGCTATACCACGCTCGTGGAGCTTGTTTGAGCCCGTAAAGCGCTTTCTTTAGACGAAGAACTTTTCCTTCTTCTTTGATGAATCCTTCTGGTTGCTCCACATACACTTCTTCTCGTAGCTCTCCATTTAGAAAGGCTGACTTGACGTCTAGCTGATAAATTTTCCATTTCTTCTGAGCAGCAAGAGCTATGAGTGTTCTTATTGTGTCCATCCGGGCAACTGGTGCAAACGTCTCTGTGTAGTCAACTCCCGGTATTTGAGCATACCCCTTTGCAACCAGCCTTGCCTTATGCTTCTGAATTGAGCCATCGGGGTTCAGTTTTGTTTTATACACCCATTTGACTCCAATAACCTCCTTGTTATGTGGAAGATCTACCATTTCCCAAGTATCATTCTTTTCTATCATTTTGATCTCCTCCTCCATTGCTTTAATCCAAACTTTTTCTTTGGAGGCTTCGGTGTAGCTATATGGCTCCAAGGAGCAAAAGTTGCATGTTTCATAGATGTCAGTAGACTCATATAGGTCTGCTAGAGTTCTTACCTGAAGAGGTGGGGACTCTGGTGAGGAGTCGTGATTTCTTGATGTATTAGCTTCAAAAGAGGATCTTGGAGTAGACGTGGGGCTTTGTTGATCGTGATTTTCCTCTTCTGGTATTTCCTCTAGTTGGACAGTAGTTGTCTTTCTTTCAACTTTTTCTGTCTCCCAATTCCAAGAGGCTTGCTCGTCAAACTCCACATCTCGACTTGTCACCAACTTCTTTGTCTCGAGATTGTAGATTCGATATCCCTTGGATTTGGAGCTATAGCCAAGGAAGATGCCCTTCTCTGTCTTGTCTTCTAATTTGTGCCTTTTAACAGAGGGAACATGAATGTAGCATATGCTTCCGAAGACCTTCAAATGTTTGGCTGAAGGCTTTTGTCCAGACCATGCCTCAATAGGTGTTTTGTTTAAAACCGCCTTAGTTGGACACCGGTTTAGAAGATAGACTGAAGTATATACTGCCTCTGCCCAGAACGTTTTAGGCATTCCTTTTTCAGCTAACATAGACCTTGCCATCTCCATGACTGTGCGGTTCTTCCTTTCGGATACCCCATTTTGTTGTGGAGTGTATGCTACTGTTAGTTGATGCTCTACACCTTCATCTTCACAGAACTTGTCAAATTCTTTTGAGTTGTATTCGGTACCTCGATCGCTTCTCAACTTCTTGATTTGATGACCACTCTGTTTCTCCACGAAGTTCTTGAATCTCTTGAATATTCTAAAGGCTTCGGATTTTTCTTGGAAAAAATACACCCATGTCATCCTAGAGTAATCATCGATGAAGAGTATGAAGTACCTGTTCTTCGAAACTGAAGGCGTGCGCATTGGACCGCAAACATCGGTGTGGACAAGCTCTAGTATCTGTTTGGCTCTCCATGTCTTTTCTGTTGGAAATGGTTGCCTGTGCTGCTTCCCAACCATACATCCTTCACATACTCCTTCTTTTTCATCCAGTAGAGGCATGTCTCTCATCATCTTCTTTAGGTGTAGTAATCTCAAGGCATTGAGATTGAAGTGCCTAAATCTTCGATGCCATAGACTCGTATCACTCAGTTGAGCCACCATCGCCTTTTGTGGATATTGCCATTGAATAGGAAAATTTCTATTATTTCCCATTTTTACTTCAGCAATTTCTTGATTATTGTTCTTGTCATAAATTCGGCAAGAATTTTTCTCAAAGTGCAAGGCATATCCACTTTCCATCATTTGGCCAACACTTAGTAGATTTTGTGCAAGGCGTGGCACTAGGAGAACGTTTCTAATAAAGCACGTACCTTTCTTTGTATCTATGACAATGGTACCTTTCCCCTTTGCCTCCACCAAATCGCCATTTCCCATCTTGACTTTTGTCTTGATAGGGGTGTCTAAGTCATGGAAGATGGTCTCGTTGGATGTCATGTGATTGCTGCACCCACTATCGATGTACCACTCTTCTTCTTTTGCTTCTATGGCTGAGTGACATGCGTAGAACATGTACTCCTTCTCTTTAAAATCTTCAGAATAGTTGGCCTGATAGTTTCTTCTATCTCTGCAATCTTTTTCTTCATGCCCGAACCTCTTGCAATTTCTGCATTGTGGCTTTCCTCGATGGTAGCAATCTTTCTCTAAGTGATTAGTCTTCTTGCATATTTTGCATGGTGGAAAGTTCGTCTTCCTCTCCTTGTTGTTAGAATTCCCATCTTTATGTGGTTTAAAGTTTTCACCATTTCTCGAGTGATTCCTTTTAATGTTGAGCTTAGACTGGAAGGCACTTTCTAATGAACTTTCGTGTCGTCTGTTTAGCCTTTGCTCACGTGCTTCTAGCGACCCCATTAATTCAGTGATGGACATTTTTGATAGATCTTTTGACTCCTCAATAGCCGAAACTACTGGATCATATTTTTCAGGGAGACTGATTAGGACCTTCTGGATTATTCTCTCGTCGGTTATGTTTTCTCCAAGAGTTCTCATTTCGTTGACTATATGTATAACCCGAGAGAAATAATCTTTTGCCATTTCAGAATCTCTCATCTTTAAATTTTCGAGCTCTCTTCTTAAACTTTGTAATTTAATAGTTCTAACTTTCTCATTTCCTTGAAATTCCTCCTTAAGAATATCCCAAGCTTCTTTTGCCGTAGTAGCACGAATTATTCTCGGGAAAATAGTATCACAAACGGATTGTTGAAGAAGATAGAGAGCTCTAGCATTTTTCTGTTTTTGTTTCTTACGTACCTCGGAAGTTGATGCGTCGTCGCTTCCTTTTTCCGGCATGATGATTCCTTCTTCAACAATATCCCAGAGATCATGTGATTCTAGGCAAGTCTTCATACGGACACTCCAATAGTCATAGCTTTCTCCATTGAACATCGGAGTTGATACCGAGAAGCTTGATGTCGTCATAATGCCCGCTTATGATCGAACAAGCTCTGATACCACTTGTTAGAAAATAGAAGAGGTTGTTGGTTGTATGAATAGAATAAGTGATTTTAGTGAGGTGTAATGTAGATGATGTGTTTTAGAGGAGAGCTCTTGTCTCTAGAAAAATAGTATTGTATTGATGTTTCTTGGTTTTGCTTGGTTTGCAAATGAGTACAATGAGTCCTATTTATAGGAGCTAGAGGATCATTCTAGATCCTTATTAAATGCTATGATTCTAGAGTATTCTACATCTATGTCTAATTACTCTAGATTTTACATAAGAATTCTCTAGTAGAGAATTTTCTAGAATACTTTCTAGCTTTAACTCTCTAGACATCTCTAGCCTTTTCTACATAGAATATTCTAGATAAATGCATCACTATTTAATAGAAAGTTACACTAAATATACTTGTAGTTTGGCCATTTTCAAATAGAGACATTCGATTCTTTTCCGACAAAGTGGAGCATGGAGCTTGTGCTTTCACTTCAAGAGTTTCCATTTAAACTCCGTCAGAAAAAGGTGATGTGGGTGTATAAAAAAAGCGGCATGTCACCTTCTTTTTGCTGGAGTTTAGGCGGAAA